TCTTCTTCTTCTTCTTCCTCTTCTTCTTCTTCTTCCTCTTCTTCTTCTTCCTCTTCTTCCTCTTCCTCTTCTTCCTCTTCCTCTACTTACTATATATATAACACCGACTCACTGATTTGTCCCCAAAAAACAAAAGTACTGTAGTAGTACTATAGTAGTACTATAGTGGTACTATAGTAGTACTATAGTAGTACTACAGTAATACTGCACAACCCCCTAACCCTAACCCTACTCCCCTCAGGTTCGACTCCTGGGCCGGCATGGCTCTGGCCCGGGCCAGCAGGATCCAGGAGAAGCTGAACTCCAACGAGCTGAAGAGCGACGTCCCCGTGTGGAAGCACTCGGAGGCCGTGCTGAACTGCTTCAAGAGGGCGCTAGAGATCGACGCCTCCAACCTGTCGCTGTGGATCGAGTACGGCACCATATCGTACTCCCTGCACTCGTTCGCGTCGCGCCAACTCAAGCAGTGGCGCGGCGAGCTGCCGCCGGACGTGGTGAAACAGGTATGTGAACGGCGGCGCTGCCGCGCCGGACCGCGCCGCCGCCACCGGGAGGCGCTGACATGGTTGGTGTCCGTCTGTGTTCCAGATGGAGGAGCGGAAGGACTCCATGTTGGAGACGGCCTTCCGGTGTTTCCAGGGGGCGTCCCGCTGCGAGGGCGACAGCGACGAGGAAGAGTGGCTCATCCACTACATGCTGGGGAAGATCGCAGAGAAACGCCGGCGCCCCCCGGTGGAATATTTACAGCTGTACAAGAAGGTTAGAAAAAAAAAAAAACGTCACATGGGGTTTGGTTTTGTCATCAGCATCACTGTAAGTGTTTAAACGCAAACGGTGTGACCACAATATATGTGTATATGTATGTATATATGAGTATATATGTATGTATATGTATATATGTGTATATACAGTATATGTGTATACATATATTTATGTATATGTATGTGTATATATATGTGTGTATATACAGTATATGTGTATACATATATTTATGTATATGTATGTGTATATATATGTGTGTATATACAGTATATGTGTATACATATATTTATGTATATGTATGTGTATATATATGTGTGTATATACAGTATATGTGTATACATATATTTATGTATGTGTATATACAGTATATGTGTATATATATATTTGTATATACATATGCATATACATACATATACACATGAATGCATATACATACATACATATATGTATATATGTATGTATGTATGTATATGCATATATGTGTGTATGTATGTATATGCATATATGTGTATATGTATGTATATGCATGTGTGTATATGTATGTATATGCTGGTATGTATATGCATATATGTGTATATGTATGTATATGCATATATGTGTATATGTATGTATATGCGTATATGTATGAATATGCGTATATGCGTATATTTATGTATATGCATATATGTGTATGTGTATATGTATGTATATGCATATATGGGTATTTGTATGTGCATATATGTATATGTGTACATGGGTATATGTTTGTATGTGCATATATGTATATATGTATGTATGTGTGTGCATATATGTATATGTATGTATATGTGTACATGGGTATATGTATGTATGTGCATATATGTATATGTATGTATGTGCATGTATGTGTATATGTATGTATATGCATATATGTGTATATGTATGTATATGCATATATGTGTATATGTATGTATATGCATATATCTATATATGTATGTATATTCATGTGTATATATGTATATATATATGCATATATGGATATATATATCTCCATATATGTGTATATATACATATACGTATGCATATATATGTGACCACAGTTATTATAAAAACATATATAAATCAGGATGAAAGATTTAACCTGAACCTCCTTCCTCACGGTTTACAAATCTGGCTCCCTCTGCTGGTCGTTCCGTTGTTTTATCCCATATAAAATGGGGGGAAAATGATGGTGATCTGAGCAGAGGCCGTCATTGGCTGAAAGTTGGCGTTTTTGGTGGTAAACACCACTTTTTTTTTTAAATTTTTTTTAAATTTTTTTTTAAATTTTTTTTTTTTTTTTTGTGTTTTTTTTTTTTTTTTTTTAGGCCGCCCACTATTTGCACGAAGAAGCCGCCAGATACCCCCGAAAAATCCACTACCACAACCCCCCGGATTTGGCCATGGAGGCGTTGGAGGTAAACCACCTGATGGCACCACCTAGTGGTCGGGAGGTGAAACTGCGACACCCCCGAAAAAAAACAAAAAAAAAAAAAAAAAAAAAGAACCGACGCCGTCACGAACGAACACTTAACTCATGACTATCGCAAATGTTGCGATATTTCATCATCGCCTCTCTCTCTCTCTCTCTCTCTCCCAGCTGCACTTCCGTCTCGGCGCCACCATCCTGAAACTGCTGGAGGCGTCCGCCGAGCCCGATCCCTTGGATCACGAACTTCTCTTCTCGCTGCTGGTGGACGCCGCGTCGGGACCGTTCGCGTTGGGGGAAGAGAAGAGCATGCCTAGCATGCCCCGCTCCGGCGACAAGTAAGCTCGCGATTTTTTTTTTTATACTAGAACTCCGCGTAACCTTGACGCTAACTCTCTCTCTCTCTTTTTTTTTTTTTTCCGTCCACCGCAGGGAAAAACCGTCCTCCATGACGGACGACGACTTCAACTGCTCCTCGGCCTGCGTCGGGAACCTCCTCCTCCTCGCCGCCGCCTCCTCCTCCTCCTCGCCGCCGCCGTCCGTCGCCACCGCAGGTCTGCCGTGCGCTTACGCGGCCGCGCCGTTTGACCACGATTACGCCAAATGCAAAACGCTCCGACGGCAGCAGTGGCAGGACAAGCGGCACGAAGAGCGGCAGGCCGATGGTACAGTCCCCGCCCGTCCCCCCGTCCCCCCCGGGGGTCCTAGACCTTGGGCTTGGTCTCTTTAATCTCTATCTCTCTCTCCCCCCTCTCTCTCTCTCTCTCTCTGCACTGGGCTGGGAAGTCCACCGGGGGGCGCTGCTGCTGCTGCTGCTGCTGCGCTCTCCCGCTCCGGCTGTGGCTTTTTTACCTTTCCCTTCCCGTCTTTCCCCCCCATGCACTGCGCGACTTGGGATGTGGCAACGCGGGCAACATGGCTGCTGGTTATTTGACGGTGATCGGGAAGTTGATCGGGAAGTTGATCAGGAAGGTCAGGTGTCGGTAGGGGGTGGCAGGTAGAGGTGTTGGTCCGTCGACTGAGTGTAGAGGTGTCTCTAGGACGCGTCAGGTGGTGCTGGTGGTAGTAGTAGTTGCGGTGTGACGCCACCTGGTGTTGGGCGCAGGCGGCGCAGTGGGGGTTAGTGAAGATCTGTCTGTCTGAATGTCTGTCTCTGTCTCTCTCTCTCTCTGTCTATCTCTCTCTCTCTCTCT